TACCAAAAATTCAGATGTGACATCACGCTCAGGTGAGCTGAGCTTTTCAATGAAGCAGAGCAGATGTTAACAACCGGAGTCCGATCATTTGGCACTTAACCGGAACCGACTATACCAGCATCAGGCAGGGGTGAAGAAGCGAGAGATCACCAGACCACAGTTTGAAGATTCATCAAAAAATAGTCCAAGGGATATTCGACAAATCGATTCGGTGAAAGACATCGCCATCAGGAGAGTACGGGCCTCACGAGTGGCACCAAGACTGCGAACAACTTGTAAGATCTGGACCCCAGATGCTGGGATCAAGGCTGTTATAGATTAAGGCTTGCCGGTCCTGCACACCAAGAAAGGTCAGTGAAGATGGTCAAGATGAAGACTCACCATCAGTCGATTTTCGCATGCATCGGTGAGCAGATTTCCTCCGTTCCTCCTCCCTTGCAGTGAGAACCTCGTTAAAACTTTGCCTAACGAGCTCTTCACACGCTAATCTCAGCCTCATCTGCCGATCACGCGAAGCACCGGGAGCAATCCATTCTCGACAGATCGCTGTTGCCAGGTGCTCGCGTTGTCGAGCCAAATAAGCCTCAAGGCTACTCGACTCTGCCGAAGGCTCCTTCTCGACCACACCGCTATCCATACTCCTTGTAGTTTCATTTCCAAGTGAGACAGAGCCCCTGAGAAGGAGAAACCTCGGCGTACCATGTAGAGCTCATCACAAGGAGTTCAATGTGACTTACCAGTTCATACCGCTCCGCCTCGAACTCTCGGCCGGGAACTCAAGGGGCCGGCTCCCGTAGGTAGGCTGTTGCAGCTAGCAAGGAAACTCTGGCAAGCAGTAAACATATATGAACTGGGCTTACTGTGGGATGGAAGTCTTTCTTGCTCGATGCACAATCCAAGGCGTGTGCTGCTCCCCAGGACTTCTCCCAAGCTTGCCCAGAAGGTTCGAGCAGGCCGGTGGTGGGTAATCCGGATCCGCTCGATGAGCTAGCACACGTCGATGTATCAGTTTCACTCCAGGTAGTGTCATGTGGCGGGATGCTTCTTGACTTCTCGTCACTAGAGATTGATGAGTATGTCAGTGAGTCGGGAACACCCCACCTAGAACCAGCTTGCTGCTGCAGATGAGCCATCATATGCTCGATGTAAAAGATCTGTGGACACGATTCGCATCAGCTATACTATGCACGAGGAAAGCAGACCTTAGGAGACGCCCCGGATAACCCACAGTGGCGACCAGTAGAATTCAACGTGGCCTCAGTGCACTCTACAGGCCGAGCATAACGCTGATCGTGGAGATTCGGATGCAAGCCGGTTCGCCAAGACTACTTGACATCGCCGAGTATTAGGTGGACAGTCTATCACTTTTGATAGTGGTTCGAAGGAAATCCATCTCCGTGCGCACGCGTGCGAATCTTCAGCACGCGTGCGATTCTGCCTACTCGTTTAATCCCGGTGCCAAACCAGGTGCGTTCCCGCACAGCTCACTCGGAGTGAATCTCTCCTCACTCAGGCATAACTGGAAGTCATGCATAGGGCATACAAGAATCCCTATAATGCATTCGCTCCTTGTAAGTTACAAAATTTTCGTCGGTTTGAAATGTGGGCGAGCGAGAAATCTTCCTCAGTTTGTTGCACGTTTCCTCACCAAGAGAACGGGATTGCGCGGTCTATCGTATCCGTACAATTTGAGCATGGTTAAGTTTAGAGGATAAGTCGATCCTAAACAGAGTTCGTGTAGAATGCCAGACGGCCGTGCGTTGGAAGACTCGACCTCCGATATATCCACTTGGGCCGCTTCCAGTCTCGCTTCTGGTGCCTACGAGGCCACTGAGGGCGCAGGAACGCCTTATTATCGTAAAACCCGCTCTCGGCCAAGTGGGGAATACTCTGCTAACTGCCGTGATGAGCTCAATTCTCACGTTGAATGCGTCAAGTAGGCCACCACTAGGGAGGATCATTCTCATCGAAATGCGGTGTTACCTTAACACAATGCAGTGAAAGATTCCACTCAACCCCAGCGCGTGATTCTGTCACTACATTCGTTTGATCAGGATGTTCCTGCGACTGTCCGCTCTATCTGGTACCGAATATGCTCCCGGAACCCAGGACGACAGGGCGGACAGGTGTCATAACTCTCGCGATGTTTATGTCAAGTGTATGAGAGAGACACGCAACAGAGTAGGCTGGGCGACCACGAGGAGTGTTATTCGCGTTCGCTATGCTCGTTCTCTCAGGGGCCTCGAGACTTGAGTGATAAGGTTGCCTGGGAGGCTGAGCCACCGGTATGCGAGGCTGAGCTCACTGTTCACGGCTCTTGTGTCGGCCAATATTTGAAGAACAGCATCTTGAAACGTAGGGATGTCACCTAGGTAGGTATCACTGGTAGCTAAGTTTAGGTCGTCCTTATCCATTCTTGGACCCCTCCTATACTGGTGGTGAAGACAACACTTACGCTGATGACAAATGTTTCGCAACCAGGGCCCAGTTTGAGAAATGTATGCTCAAGAAGGACATCAAGGTCCCCCAAGGCCTGATGAGCTGAATAATTATTGTTTGTGCAGGCCACTGACACAAGGTTCGTATTTAAGGATTTCGCCACCCACGAGACCAGTTTGGCGAAGCCGTAGCGTGTCTTTGGAAGTATGAGTTAGATTGTATGGTTCAATCATTGTTATGATCATTAGTTTGACATGTTTTTATTATCTAAACCCTCTCTCTTGTGTTGTCGAGTGATCCCCAAGAAATCACGTCCGGAAACTTAGAAGCTATCATTCAACCTTCTCCACTATAACCTATTGAGTACCTCATAAGGGAAGCTCCAGGAGAGCTGCGGAAGTCTCGAATACCACGCCAAGGTTTTATTACGAAACAAGTTCAAAACCTTGTGACTTGTCCTCGTGATATTTTCGACTTGACTTCACTGGATGGAAGTAATCAGGTCCCCGAAGAGGTACGGCAGTACACCCAGATTGATGGCCAAGCTCCTTGTTTTTCCACTATGTGATTGGACGCGGCCTATCCAGGACCCAAGGTAGCCCGTTATGGTATTCGCCTCAATCACTCCAAGAAGAGTCTCTTACTGCTGTTCGACGCTACGCCCTTGCCGGATAGAACAGAGGCTGCTTTCTTAGTATAGGGAAAATTGAGGCGTACCGGAGGAGGGGAGCGTACCTTGTCTAGTCACTACTGCTCAGAGATGCGGAGGTAAACGCACTTTTGCTCCACCGTGGGAGTAGATTAGTCAACTTGGGTTCGATAGCTGGGCAGAAACTCAATTCATCGAGGTCACTTCGTCCAATACGGACCCCCTGGTCTCAGAATTACATCTGAATTTATGTCGAGAATGCTAGAATGTCCCAAACCACGACTTGCGTTCGTAATTCATACTGCAGCGACTTATTAACACAACAACACCGAAACACCGACAAGGTCACTATGTTAACATTGCATGCGACTTGTCTTCACTGGAGGTCTTTGTTGATGGCAGCAAGGTTGCTATCGAGATGCTTCTCGACGTCAGCCAATGTCTCTGTACTCCTCTTGATCTCGGCTTCCTCAGCCTGAACGGCTGCACTACAAGCTCCGTAGACAATGTTGCCTTACCTGGTCCTCTGGCGAGAACTTATCAAGAAGATTAGTCTTCTTGCTACCTGATGGGGTAGGGTTCGGCTGAGAATTATCAACAGTCGAGCTTACCGTGCTGAACCAAAGCCATTGCAGCTGGGCCAGAGCGGAGGGCCGGGGTTGACGGAATCTCGATCCCAAACTTCTTAGCAACATCGTCTGGGTCTGTGCGGATGGTATCGAGGGACTCGAGGAGCGCCTGATATCTAAGAACATTCAGCAATTATCCTGTCAGCTTGATCCAAGGAATCTCACTCATCATCTAAGGAATGTTTGGTCTCACTAAAGACCGGTTTAGATAGGATATCAATAGCAGTGACAAGAAGGGCGAAGGCGGTACGCATTTAGTGTAAATGGTAGTTGCTGCAGAGGGGAATAAGTCACATGACATATCGCATTCCTATGAAGGGCTCGTATGAATCACTAGGCCCAGTCGTGACTCCAAGAGCCCTATCATTCAACTTCCCCTTGTGTCGCCAAAGAACTCTTCGCGTGATGTCAGGTTCGTTATGCTATCTTGGTGCTTTAGGGTTGGTCATGGTTCTATACTGCAGTTCTACTCGATCTTTTGCTCGGTTGACATAATCACCCTACGGTTACTGCGCGGCGCAACTGTCATTGACGCATGCCCGAGGGAGAAGCTCGTAGACCGACTCAGCTACGCAGTGTCCTCTTTTAGCACTAACTCTCCAAAGGCAGGACCGAAAATAGATTGAGCACTCCTAGCAATACCGAGACAACCATCGATACTGAGCTTACTCAACAGCACACTGAGAACCACCAATGTGCTAATAGCTGTGCCAGTACGAAACTATGACATTATCATGCGACGCGGTGTGACAAACACAACAAATAATCGACAAAAAGGTAATGGTTGCTGTTATTGCTCCACAGAGTATGATCAGCCATGTAACCTCTAATAGATAGCGAGCAATGGTGTAGAAGCTGCTAGCAACTACTGTGATGTTGTGACAATCGTCCCTTAGCCGCAATGCTCGTTCCTCTCAAGAGGCATTCGGATCCTCATCGTAGAACCAGTCTCTTTTGATGCGCAAGTTCTCCTGAAGCTGTCCACTCCGCTCCAGCTGGTTGTACTTATACCAATATCTGCAAAGAAATGCACTTACTGAGAATAAGTGAACAAGTGATGGTATGTACGGAACTGAACTGGAAGTTGTGGGGGCCAACTACTGACACTTACAGTGGGCTCTTGTGGAAGTTCTCGTAATCGGCTCCCTTGTATGGCGGGTGATACACGAGGAACACCAATGCGAAGCCGATAGCGAAATGAATCTTTATTTGTCTGAGGGGAGGATCACTCGTCTTCACTGCAATGCATCGGAATTGACACGAGGGGTAAGTGTGTGAGTTCGACAGCAACGGGGCTCAGTTAGACCCAGGGCGATGACTCGAAACGGTTACCTGGCCATCAGAGCGACCTTGTCTCTCGAGTAGTTGGGGAAGTAGTAGAACATCCAATCCATGGGTGTCTGAGGGGGATCCATAACGATAGTGCTCGTCGTAGTAGAAACACAATAGAAACCCGAAATGATTCCAAAGCAACTTACGAAGATGTGAGATCTCTGAGACATGGTCTTCACTGGAGTGGGGAGGACGGAAGCCCTGGGAGCCAGACTAGGGATGATGCGCCTCAACATACTGTGCTCGTCAAAGACTGATCAGCGCAATCGCAGATGGTATGTAATCGATGCAAGTCGACCCGCACGCGAAACCACAAGCGATCTGTGCAGCATTTGCGCGCGAGCCATTCTGATCGATTCAATACATGCACATACAACACCCGCATCGGAAGACTGAGCACGGGTTTCTAGTAGAAACTTTCTACGATGTACAAGTGTCGGGAAAGACAGAAATAGCTTCAACGCTAAATTCTGTACTAACTCGTTTGCTTTCACGGTTTGCAGCGTGCGTTGGTA